AAGGGTTGGGGGTTTGGTTAGAGATCCAACATTGTATGCAGAATTCTAGTTTGTCGTTATGGGATTAGAGAAAACAATACCTGATTCTTAAATTCAAAAACAATGAAGAACACAAGTTAATCACAGGATTTTATATCTCTATATGTAGAGAAAACTCTTAAAAACGAGAATGAGAGAGAATTTAAAGAATAAACCCAAAATAGATGAGAGAATTTGAATTTCAGGTTCAGATTTGATCATTTTGATTAAAGAGCAATTAATTTGCTCTGATACCATTTGTTGATTCTAGATCTCTCAATCTATGGATAGATTTCCGAAATATGGTGCTGAAGAAGATGATCTATCCTACTAGGTTATGAAGAACAGATGAACAACTTTAATAAATACACAAGAACATTTGAGAAGCCATCATCATCTTCATTGATATTGTACGAGAAGGATGATTACAATTGCAAATATGAGTTTACACATAATAGCAATCTAGCTTACGTGAAAGTGATTGTGAAAATGTGATCTAATAGAATGAAGTACAACAACTATTTATAACCTCCTCGAGTTGCAATGTCAAGGTAGTGATGAATCATAGCTTACCATGTGTAAAGTTGCATAACTACCTCTAGGTGGCATGTCCAACCAATAGTCTCCATGTGTCAGTTTGTTAGGCTTAAGTTGACTAGACATAAGTTGAATACTTGTACATTCTATCAGCAACTGAATACCCGAGGGGTTCTAGATTGGCTATATTCATCGACCAGATGGAGTCTTCATCAGTGGATAATCATCAAGTTAGGCATCTCCGGTTGTTCACAACCTATCTCTGGATAGTCTTCATCGTGTCTCTAGTCTTCCGCACTTAGAACATTTTACAATACTTTTACATATAAGAATGATGGGGTCTAATAGTATCTTACAAGTTTCATCTCCTCACTTTAATAGTTAGCAATCTTCTTAGTGTTGCTTTATCATCATCAAATATGGGGGAGATTGTTGATTCAAATTCTCTTAGTGTTCTGATGATGACCCTCCATATTTAGTGAAAAATACTTTGTTTTGTTTTTGTTTAGTTTCAGCGATCATCTCTAAGTCTGTTCATTGATTGTTGAACATGTGTTGTAAACATTCATAGAACAAGTATTCCTCGTAGACAAAACTCACACCAAAGAAACTTTCAACGATGTCGAAATAGAGCTGAAGAAAGGGATAATCTATTCGTAATCCGAAGTGGACATTCAGTGATAACAAGATGTTAGACCCCAGAATTCCTACTTGTAAAAGTATTATAAAATGATCAAATGCTGAATACTAGAGACCCAATAAAGACAACCCAGAGATGCCAAACCTGATAATCACCTACTGATGAAGAGTCCCCCTGGTCTATGAACAACACCTCTCTGGAACCCCTTATGGTCTTCAGCTGCTGATGGAATGCTTAAGTCATCAACTTTTGTATGTCAGCACTTGCCTGACAAACTAACACATGAAGGCTCTTGATTGGACATGCCACATAGAGACAGTTATTCCACTTTACACAAGGCAGGTTGTGATTCATCAGTGCCTTGACTTTGTTTTCTAGGAGGTTATACATAGCTGCTGAACTGCATCTGTTACACATCCTTCGTGCTAGCTTTAATTACTTAATGTGTAATTCCCTTTGAATACCTGCATTGTAATCAAAGCTTTTCTCGTAAATATCAATGAAGATGATGATGGCTACAAACTATTCTTAAATATTCATAGTTGTTTATGAAATCTTCATAACCCAAGGAATAGATCGTCTTCCTCCACTCTAATTTTCTTACATCTATCCATAGTTTGAGAGAACTAGGATTTGACACAAGACAGTCTACAATAAGTGTTAAGTCTAAATCAAGACTATGTGATAGCTGAAAATGTCTTCAGCGACTCCTCACTCTCATTAGTCAAACAAGTCTTGTTCAGCAAGATTAATTTTTATCTTTTCTTATTCACACAAAAGGACAATTCCCATGCTTTGCATAGAAAGGTACATGTATGAAGTTGCTTTATTGTCTCCACACGTGCTCACCAATTTTGTAAAATCATCTGTTCATATATGACCAAAAGGCTGTATATATGAAGATAAAGGACAAGCGCTCCAATAAAAGTTTGCTATATGGCTTGTACCCTCTTACTTGCATTAAATGTAGTGGGTATAAATAGCTGAGAAGACTCCTCTTCTCAGTTACACCTTCTTCTTCCTCTAAACTTTCTTCTCTCCTGTTCTTATCTTTTGTGTGCGTCTATTTAGTGATTCTCGTAGATTGTTTAGATTAAGTTTTACCTTATCTTATTCCGTAACAATCTCTAAATTATGTATTGATCTTATTTAATCAATAAACAAATTTAAAAAGTGAAAATTGTGTGTTTGTATTCATCCCCCCTCCTACAAACAGTTAATACCTTTAAACTCTTGTAGAATCCTTTTGGGACCAATAAAATCGACGTCAACATCTAAAGAAATATGTTAGTTCTTCAGATCTGAAACAATACTATCTTCTCTCACTCTTTCGTTGTTAGCAAATTTGTCACAAGTGGGATTGTTTAGGATCACAGGTTTTACTTTCCTAGCTTCCGTAAGAAATCCGTAATTCTTTGTTTTAATACAAAATATAGAATTAAAAAGTGAAAATCGGTTGTGTGTACATTGAACCCCCTTCTACAAACACATTCTATGTAAGTCATCACTTCCCATGAGCAACAATAAGTACTAGACTAAATAGCCTTTAAGAAACAATAAAATTATTAAATCATGGTAATTATCTGATTGGCTAATAAAAAATTGTATCAGTTGTACAATTAAAGGAGGTTGTATTTGATACATCTTCTCTCTCTCTCTCTCTATACATATATATATATATATATATATATATATAGGCTTAATCAAATGAGAACTGATTAGTTTGTGGTAACTGTGAGATCCAATTTCAACCACAAATCAACGGATAAATTAGGAAATTAATAATTATGATAGTTTGAGTTAAAATCATAGTTAGAGGGCATTTTAGGTATTTTTAAAAAACTTCTCTCTCCTCTCTCATCTCTCATCTTTCTGACCTCCAATCTCCGGCCTCCGGTGAACAAAAATCCGGCAGGTACCAAGTAATCACAAAGATATACAATGGGTATCACATTATGTATCCTTGTGATTACTTGATACCTGCCATAGGCCGGAGATTGGAGGTCAGAGAGATGAGAGAGGAGAGAAGAGTTTTTTAAAAATACATAAAATGCCTCTAATTACAATTTTAACTCAAACTACCATAATTATTAATTTCCTAATTTATCCGTTGATTTGTGGTTGAGATTGAATCTCACAGTTACCACAAACTAATCAGTTCTCTCTTGAATGGGCCCCTATATATGTGTGTGTATGTCATCACATTTTAGTTTTGATGTAAACTTCACCTTGAACGTAGGGGTGTTCATTGATCAGGTTGAAGGTATTTGAATAACTCAATCCAATGCTTGTGGTTTAAAAAATTTCAACTCAACCAAACCAAAGTACAACTCAACCCAATCTAAACTGTACGGATTGGTCATATTTATACTTTGGAACATCAAAATATTTTCTTAACCTTAATTATGCTTTTTCTCTACTCATAATCTTTTTACATCATCAATTAGTTGGTACAACTTATCCATACTCCTTAATTTTAAGTATATATCACATTCAACTATTTTTCTTAATTTGCATATATATGATCACATTTACCTGAATATATATACGAATGCGTAATATAAAGATTGAGAAGAGATTGAAAATATATGTAGAGGATGCATGATGATATAACTGTCTAATGTACATATTATTAGAGATTTAACAATCATATTAAATTCAAGATGTGAAAAAGATATCATGTTAATCGGATAGGATTGAGGGGGTGTTTGGGATTGCTTATTTGTAACAACTTATTTTTTTTCTACAAAAACACTTATCAACTTATGTTTGACACCGGTATAAGTTGTTTATTCAAACACTCAAAAGTGCTTATTACTAGTGCCACATCGGAATAAGTCAATAAGTTGTTTTTATAAGCAATCCCAAATAGGGATGGCAAAAAAACCCGCACCCGATGGGGAATCCGATACCCGTACCCGATTTGACCGGGGAATCCCCGAGTTGACCGGGTACGGGGACGGGGATGGGGAATCCCCAAATTTAAAAACGGGAATGGGGGCGGGGATGGGAATACCCTTCGGGTCCCCGGCCCCGACCCCGGCCCCGAAATATATATATATATATATATATATATATTAAATGTTACCCCGATTCCCAATTTCAATATACAAGATCTTTTCAGTTTATTTTCCCATATTCCCTAATTTAAAATATATATATAGTAAGTTGGTTTTTATTAGTGGGCTAAACTTTATGGTTGATAACTTGTCGTGATAATTCAACTTGGTTTTACTGAAATTTGTAGCTTTAAACATTTACAAATCAATAAATATAATGCTCTTTATTCAAGCAAAAAATGCAATTTCACATCCGGAGAAAAATCCCCGATTCCCTGTTGGGGATCCCCGATTCCCCGTGGGGATGGGGATGGGGATGTAATCACATTCCCCAGCGGGGATGGGGACGGGGATGGGGATGGGGAGTGGGGATCGGGGACGGGGATGGGAAGTGCAATCCCCGATGCCCCCGGCCCCGTTGCCATCCCTAATCCCAAACACCCCCTGAGTTTAAATGATCGTCACCTAATTCCAATCTGATACCTACGATTTGGAAATTTTACAACTCAATTAAAAGTTAAGCTATTTCAGATTCAGTTATTTCATATTTGGTTGGATTGAGTTAACTCAAGATTAATCTGCTTGAACATATGTAGATATTAATTTGATGTTATACAAAACTACTTATCCATGAAGGGGCCACCAATGTATAGTGTATGTGGGTTTTGGTGTTTCGGCGCCAAATACCATCTGATGGTTACCCTTTTGATGCCATTACACGCACGTATCCCCTCTTCTCTTCTTCTCTCCCACAACCGAAAACAAATTCATTCGCCTTTCCCAATCTGAAATCAATGCACATTTGAACTGTATTCTCTCTCTAACTTCTTCTCTTTGATCCAGAGAGAGAAAGTGGAGAGGGTCAGGGAGATGGAGGATATGGCGGTGCTTGACGATCAATCCAAAACTTGCGTCGTCCTCGGAGGCAGAACCTTCGTTGGGAGATGTCTTGTTATGAGGTTGTTGATGCTAGGTAATTGGATCGTTCGGGTTGCCGATTCCGCTCAGTCCCTCCGACTTGATCCTTCCGACTACAAATACGATTCGCCGCTTAACCCTGCTCTATCTACTGGCCGTGCTTCCTATTTCCATGTCGATGTGCGCAACAAACAATCGATCACTAAAGGTACTTGTTTTGGTTTATGTTCTATGTGTATGATGATGCTCATTTGTTTCTTTCTGTCTTGTACTTCCTTTCTACCATAAAATTTGCAGCAGTTTTCGTTGGTGAGAATTTTGTATCATGTATTTACCAAGTGGGTATGATAAGATGACTCAAAAATTGCTGTTTCTTGGCTTTAAAAATACATTTGACAAATTCTTCAAGACGTCAAACCCTACAAGAGAAGAGCCTGCCAAGCCATACCTCTTATCCACACCCAAACTGTATGTCTTATCACAGCTGCATTAAAGCCTTCTGCTTCTGCTAAGTCGTGCTCAAATTTATAGTTAGTTTTGTGATTGGGTGCCATTCGAGTGCATATCATGCTGCATCTGCATCTAATTCGACATTGTGTGACCAGATACTCTAGCACAAGTAGGGCTTTAGACCTTATTCATTTTCTAATACCTCAAAATAGTAGAAAGAGAAGGAATCTGATGGAATTTTACATCTAACTTTGATGATAAATCCTGTGATATTCATACAAAATAATTGGATACAGATTTACTTCTAAGTGGGCTTATACTTTCTTGATATACTAGATTCTCATTATTCTCTAGAATGCTCTTCTTTTCCAGTCAAGTTATAGAGAGAGTAATTTTTATTTAGGCCTTCAAAATTAGCATTTTGATTGAACGACTTCTTGTGCCCAAAAGTAGGAGTCATGTTTAAATTTGCAATATCAAGCCTGGTAATTTCTAAAATTCAAATTGATATAGAGATTATTTAGGTTATCTAAAATGTTCCAATCATATTAAATTTTTTCACATTGTTTTTTACATTTTAACCTACCTATTAATTTTATATTTTTCTTCCATGATTAATACAACTTGTCAATCTTGAAGTTGAAAAGTAAAATCAAATGTGCATTTTCTATGGGAAGAGGGAGTCATCAAAACTCACAAAGTTCATGCATGTGCCCTAAACAATTTAGGGTTTGTCTATGAGATTCAAATTATTAACCTGTATTTATTCTATTTAGTTTGCCACTTATAGTTTTCCGCAAAGTAGATATTTTTGATAACCCAACACATCTTTCTTATCGAATAGAAGCTTTGTAACTCTTTACTCACTCAATATCATTCGATAACTCTCTAGACTTTGGGATTTACATGGTCACATACATTGAGATGGGAACACAACAGGCGTAGGGATTAAGGAAACAAATAAATGTTAAAATGCCCTTGATAAATAACAAAAGTTAAATAAACACTCCCTAATTTCCCATTTAAACAGTAACATAGGTAAATATGTAAGTTCATCCTAAGTGCTGGCTACTAATAGTTACATAGTCGATTACATTAATTTTCCAATCTATCCTGAAATAAAGTTCAAGTGATAAATGGTGAATACCTTTGAATATATATGTACATTCATACACGTAGGTATATACATGCATACATGTACATGTATATATCGACACATGTCAAATATATTCATGCATATAGGTATGTATATGTACGTGCATATGTATGTACATGATTCTACATGTATATATGCATAAATATGACATATGTGTATGCGTATGCTTATAGCTTAAGCCTTGATACTGGATCTCTTTTGACAAAGTTGATGTCTAAGCAGGATTCATGAGATCAGTTGCATGCTACAGTTGATGTGTACATTATGCATCTCAAACTGACATTTTCAGATAGCTTATGTGGAGCATCAGAGGAGCAAATGATGATTATGTGCACTTGAGTAGTTACTTTGTATATGCATATTGAAAATTGTGTCTGAATGTTCTTTAATCCAACCTAAATATTTAGTGCTCGTGTACTGAAGTGATGTCTGATGGGGTATAAGGAGAGATGGAATGTGTTGTGACTTCTAGAGTTGCCATTTTCCTTTCGATTCATGTAGATTTATTGAATCTGCATGTGACAGTGACATAAGCAATTAGGATATAGTTCTTTTTGATGTGGATGCCATCTCTTTAGAGCTTTGCATCCTTTTTATCATAAAAGATATAGCATACTTTCTTCTTTGTATCTTCTCTTGAAGATTAAGTCCTCCAAATTGTGACTTTCATTATCTATAGTTTGTCTGTCTGTCCAGGATTTGTTGACCATTTTCTTCATTATTCCTGATATGTGCAATATTTATGTGATGCTTGACTGTCATTATTCCTGATTGCGGGTATTTCAATCAATTCTGGTAATGTCAATATCCCATACCTTTTTCTTGAAGGGTGACACATAAGTCAAAGAACCTTTGCTTTCTGTTAACTTAATTAAATGTTTAGTTAGACACACTCATGCATATACACCAAAAATATTTTTTAGATCATATTTAATATTTGAGGAGAATCAGTGTTTGGAAGTCACTGATAATCCAACAACAAGGATTGGCTTTGTTGTTGACAGAGATGGGGGTCTTCTCTCCTTAATAACGATCTTATTACTCTCCCATCCGTTTTCACCTGACATTTTTTTGTGCTCTTGTTAATGAGGCAATTTGTGTTATATATAATAGCTAATCCTCAGAAATAGCCACTATGGCAAACAAATGCTGCGTGTTGGTCATTTTGTGCTTCTATTCTGTACTTTAAGTTGTAATTGGTTCTAGAACTTCATTATCAGGGAGAGAGACAGAGACTAAACCAAGTCAGCATTTTTTTTTCTCTTTTTGCAGCTATTGAAGGTTCGTCAGTTGTGTTCTATGTGGATGATGCTGATTCCTGCAATAATGATTTTTTTCTTGGCTACACAATAATTGTTCAAGGTTAATCATATTATACTTAAATTAGCTTGCCCCTAAAGTGAGACACAATGGTTTTCTTACAGCTCTCATATTTTATCAATTGTATTTTATTTAGGTGTGAAAAATGTGATCGGTGCTTGTCGAGAATGCAAAATTAAACGGTTAATTTACACCAGCACTGCAGATGTAGTGTTTGACGGTTCACATGATATACATAATGGAAATGAGACACTACTATATGCTACAAAAGTATGTGTTGAAATTCTACCTTATGACTACTACTTCCCCCTTCCACATTATATTATTCTCAAAAACAAAAAAAAGTAGGATGGTAGTGTGACATCTTTTACTTCTTAAACTAGAAATTCCACATTGGTTTTCTATGAATGTTGCCTCTACTTAAAGTGACGTGTATTTTTAAGATTTCTGTTTTTTTTTTTCTTTTCATTCAAAGTTCCATTTTGTCCAAGCACCTTTTGTGGATGGACTTATGGTGATTCATGTTGTCCTATTTTTCCTTCCCAAAAGGCATGCTTGGATAGATAGAATCGTTGAATAATAAATCAACATCGTCTTTATCATGGACGTTGCTTGTAGAGGCATACATCAAAACGAAACTACTTCCAGAATTTTCTATTCTAATCCTAGTGAAAACACACTTAATGGAGAAAGGTGGGAATTATTTTTCTTATCATATTCTTCTTACATGATAAAGTTCTTTGCCATGGTACAGTTTAAGAATGTATACAGTGAACTTAAGGCTCAAGCAGAGGCACTTGTTTTGCTTGCAAATGATATTGATGGCCTTCTCACATGTGCTCTTCGCCCTAGCAACATTTTTGGACCTGGAGACAAGCAGCTTCTGCCATCTCTGGTTGATGTTGCAAAATCTAGCTGGGCTAAGGTGTGGAAACGTATTGGTATTTAACTATTTAATATACATTTCTTGTTCCTTCTATCCTACTTATCAGTCAAATCTGAAAATTACTATGCAACGAAATTATTAATTTTTTCAATCTACAAACATACATTAATGTGTCACATGTCACAGGGTTGCATTCAAACTTGTAGCCTTTTTTTTTTTTTGGATTTTGTTATTAGTAATTTTAAGTGTTAGAAAATGATGAGAATATGCCTGGCTCAAATGATCGAAGGACATCATCTACTATTGCTAAATGGCTCTGCTGGACCAGTTAAAATAGCATTGGTGCATTGCTTAGAAAAGGTTATTTGGGCAGCTATAACATAATCCAGCTTGCAGTTCTATATTCTCTGTTCTTAGAAAGTAGTGCTGCTTTTGTTTTTGATTTCTTCATAAAGAAGAGTTGTCTCCTATCATTAGAGTAGGATATGATCAATATGCTTGTAGCATCAAGTAGATCAAGTTTAGCATAAAGAAGCTAGAGCTTGTAATTATTCTTCCACTATACATAACAAAATCTCAGCATTTGCTTTTGAAGTTATTTTTTCCATTCTGCATGTTTTGCATGTGAGTTCCATTTTGATTGTGTGAAGATAAACGGAGAGGTGATAAATGGATATGAGAAGGGTGAAATGAGCAATACAAACAGACTAACTTTTGAAAGAAGCAAAAGTTCATATTAGTGTCTCTTTCATGGTGAGAACATGTTTGTGGAACCATGTTGTTGTTTGTAGCTTCTAAGCATGACAACTAAAAACAACACATATATTTGGCAATAAAAAGTTGTTTTTCGAAAATTAGTTTACTCTATTCTCTTTCAATTGCAACTTCTAAGTATGACAACTAAAACCAACACATATATTTGGCAACAGTTGTTTGTCTAAAATTAGTTTACTTCTTTCTGTTTCTTGGAACAGGGATACCTCGTAGGAAACTTATTTGTGCCTTCCGTTTTTTTGTTTGTTTGTTGAGAATTATGACTATTTGCAGCAGCAACAGGGATGCCTGAGTAGGATAATGTTGGTGCTAATTTGTTTTGCTTAGAAGGATGAACAGAAGCTAATATCGGTATCAAAGAAACAGAAATAGATAATCTATGTTACTATATCGTATGGCGCTATATGTGTGAGATATATCCCTGTGGCCCATCGTAGAGCTCTTGTTAACTTCTGTGTTTTGACTATGCTCCATGTTATGAACTTGCAACATTCACATTTTATGCATACTTGTTTTGCTTCCGGGGCTAGTCATTTAAGTGCAAAGTTAAAATCGGATTGTAGTTGTTTATTTAACTCAAGCCTGTTGACTATGTTTTGTTTTGTTTTGTTGATTTCATCATGCTGACAATGCTGTTATTGACCTTGCGCTCTTGTCAGTTTATGTTAAGTGTCATCTTGGATATACTTTTTATAAGTAATAGAGTCTCTCATTCCAGTTTATTATAGGAAGTGATGGAAGCATGTCTGACTACACCTATGTGGAAAATGTCGCTCATGCCCTTATCTGTGCAGAAGCTGCTTTGGGCACTCGTATGGTTATCGTGTCTGGAAAGGTATTGTGTAACAATAGATTCTTACTTCTGAGAACACTTTCTTACACCTTTAGTGAGATTAGTGATTAAAAATTATCCAATCTACTTAGGTATTCTTCATCACTAATCTTGAGCCGGTGGGATCCTGGGAATTTTCCTTGCGCATATTGGAAGGGTTAGGTTATTACAGGTAATGAATGCACCCTCGTTTTTTTAAATGATTGCATTGCACCTAACTCTTTCTTAAACCTTTTTAGTTTTCAGGTGCAATACTATTGTAGTTTCAGGTTAATGACTTGAAAGAATTGTTGAACTCATATTCAAGTTTAGATGAGAGAATCGTTGAACTCATATTCTTTAAATACTCAATTCAACAAAAATCATGATACTTTTTCTTTCTCTATTTTAATTAACCTACTTGAGAGTTCTGGATTAGGTGTTGATAGTGTTCATGTTATAAGAAAGAGTAGGAAAGGCCACATTCTTATCCTAAACAAGTCAAGTTGTCAACAACAAAGAGAGAAAGTAGGATCACCGAGAATGTCTAGAAAGAGGTAAAGAGAGAGATAAAATCATAGAAATGAAGGGATAAGCTGTGCCTAAAAGAAAAGAATTGCAAGTTGGACAAGAAAATTTCGAAACTCAAAATCGGAATCTCTTGTAAACTATAACACCCCATTTCGAAACTCGAAATCGAGACGCAAATGGTGTATTGTGCTCGTCTCTTTAACGGTGATTCTTAAAACATAATATTAACTAATTTTGATGCAGTAAAAACTTGTGGAAGCAATTTAAAATATAATTTCATCATATTAAAACTTTTACAAAAGATGGAACCAAAATTTGCAACGTCACGGAAACGAATGAAAACATAAAAGCTAATCCCACGTTGCAACGGTTTCTATCGTTGACAAAACTATATATACAACTATTGTGGCCACTCTTGAGAGATCTAATCCTGAATCCTCTCTTAATCCCTACCTGTGATACACATACATTTTAAAGCAAATATATTTGCCGGATGATTACAAGTCTCCAATATATATATATATATACAATGTCAAAATAATGTTTGATGTTATGATCATGCTTAGTAGTACATTTGATGCAACACATGAATACTATGTATAACCAAACCAACGACTATCACATATAGCCTGTCGGTACATAACTTCGAAGCTTTTTGTTGAAGGTACGGGGATGTAATACGATCCCTAATCAAGGATTTCATAAATCCACATACTCTTTTATCAACATCTTTCAAGAATGAAATAAATTTTATGCACATGCTTATTAATATGTATCTATGAAGTTTTTCACAATGTAACCATGTTTTCATGCTCAAAGTAATGACATGTTTGCCTTGAACTTTCTGGTTTGGAAAACAATTGAAATTTATGTTATGATTATGCAAACATGTTTTCAATGAGATCGCGATTCATAAGCTTTCTTACATAAATCAGTAATTATATGAGATTCATGTTATAAACTCTAACTACATATTCTGTATCACATTTGTAAACATAAACATGTAATCATCTTGAGTTCTTAAGCTTAGAAGACTTTAATTTCTGTAAAGTTTCCTTTTCTTTCCAAGATTTTCTTCCAACTCCTTTCTCCTCTTGTTTTTCGTTAGAACAATGTGTGAAGATGAGAGAATGATATGTATAAATGAGAACTCCTGCTGTGGTTCTTTAAAGGTATCCAATATAAAGGAGAAAATCTCCTATTTTTATCCCATATATCCAAGTCGGTGGTCATAACTGTTAGAATGTAGGCTTCGGCCTACTAAGTTAGACAAAAGGGAGGAGGCATAAAGTAAGGAGCCGGCCCTAGTCTCTACCCTAGTTTCCTTGATTAGGAGATAACCCTAATTATGTTTGTCTATATATATTAATCTCATTGTACTTGTAAACATTTGTAGCACCTAAATAAAGAAAAACCTAGTTGCCCCCGTGGACTAGCACGATCAATCTGATCGTGTGAACCACGTAAATTCTTGTGTTCTTCTCTTGTTTTTTGGGTTGTGCGTAGGGTTGTGCGTATTGCGTGTGTAACATTTGTCCTAACAACTAGTATCAGAGCTTTAGGTTCTTGATCTGTTACACTCAATCGCTGAAACCCTAGCCATAATCTACCGTCGCTGCTGTTTGCTGCTGCCACCGTTGCTAAAAGTTTGGGATCATGGCTGAGGACGGAAAAACCAGAATTGAGAAGTTTGATGGACAAGATTTTGGTTGGTGGAAGATGCAAATCAAGGATCTTCTGTGTCAGAAAGACTTGGATCAAGCCTTGACAGGAATAAAACCCGTAGAGATGGAAGACAATAAATGGGCTGCTCTAGACAGAAAAGCCTTGGCTGTTATCAGATTTACACTGGCCAAGAATGTGGCTTTTAACATTGTGAAGGAGACTCCTGCATGTGGATTGATGAAAGCATTGTCAAACATGTATGAGAAACCTTCTRCTTCTAACAAAGTCTTTCTAATAAGACAGTTAGTAAACACCAAAATGAAAGAAGGTATGTCTGTTACCTCACACATTAATGGTTTCAATACCATTATATCRCGCTTGTTATCTGTTGAWATTAAGTTTGAAGATGAAGTCCAAGCTTTGCTTTTGTTATCCTCGTTACCRGAAAGTTGGTCAGGAACTGTCACTGCCATTAGTGGTTCAGTTGGAACCTCTAAACTCACCTTTGAGGGCATTCGTGACTWYMTCCTAGGAGAGGACATAAGGAGACGGAGTTCTGGAGAATCATCTAGTGCTTTGCTAAGCACTGAAGGGAGAGGTAGAAAGACAGAAAGGGGTAATGGCAAAGGTAGATCAAAGTCAAGAAAGAGGAGCCACTCGAAACCAAGAAAAGACATCCAATGTTGGAAGTGCAAAGAAACTGGGCACTTCAGAAATCAATGCCCTAAACAATCAGATGGAAACA